TCCCTGCGTTGTGCTTCGCACGAAAAAAAGGCATCATTGACGTCGCACTGATCCTTGGTCAGGGGCCATTGGCGTGTTACGCAGTATTTGGTTGCCGGATCAGGTTAATCTCATGACGCACACCTCGGTCCGGAGGTAGGACAGAAGGCAGGTCTTTGGAGACGACGTCTTGAAATTCCTTTACCAAAGGATAGTACGGATCATAGGGATTCCGTAGGATCGACGAGTCACTATGTGCGTTTGACACCCTCTTAGTGTCCTCCAGGACAGCTTCATCCCAAATCAACGACAAGTTAATCCTCTCGTGCGCTGTTATAATGACTACCTCGATAAACTGCCTGCCTTCAATGCACAGTCAAACGCTTCGAAGGACATCACGTCCTGCTCACAAAGAGCATCCACCGCGAGAATAGCCTCGGGGGTGACGTCGTCGTCTTTCTCTCCCGTTATACCGCTGACAAGGGTATATAGCTGTGCGCTGTCGTCTACGGTAGACACACTTTGGGTCAGGGTCGACTCTTTGAGTCTTGCAGATATCGTACGGCATTCCCGTCCCCTCTCTATAGAGAGTTTTCGTCTCTTCGAGACCAATGGGAACAGCCGTCCAGTGTCCCGACTCCGTGATCCATCAGAGCCTTACTGGTATTAACAACATCCAGCGAAGAGCTGCTATTTTCGCAGTCTTCGTCCAGTGGATAACGTGCTACTCCACGCGCATTGGAAGGGACATGTTCAAGAAGCCCCGGACCTCATCCGACCATACCACGCTTGGCACGCATCAACTGCTTCGTAACGTGAGCAGTGCTCTGTCACTCCAGTTGCATCATTGGGTCCTCACCCTCGATGCCTCAACCTTTGGCCAACCATGCCACTACTTGGCGTGCTAGCAACTGCTTTGTTACTTGAGCAGTGCTCAGTGGGTTTCGTGCCACTCCACGTTCGGCCCGTGAGCCACGCTCGGGACTCTTGTCTGACACACCTTTAACAACTCGGATACTCCGATATCCAGCACATTGACCGTCCCGGTCCAGTGCCCGCGCCAATTGTGCCTCTGCGTCCTAGCAGAGGTTGATTCATGATTCACCAAAGCTCCACCAAGAGACGTGCGCGTAGCGCCCAATGTATAAGTCTAATCCTAAGGAGCGTTCCACGGTATTAAAGGCAAGAAACCTGACACCGAAGTCCACAGGGATCCTCGGCACAGTGATACAAGTCCCCGTCGCTAAGCGAATAGTGACGTTGTCACAAAACCGCGCTTTCGGCGCCTCAGGGTACAGCTGACTTCGTTCGATCGTGGAGCGACAAGCATAATTGCCCGACTCCCCGGAATCGAGGCACAACAGAACTCAGTTCTTCCACAGTGAACCGAAAATTTTCCGGTAATACCGGTATTATGATCTTTCTGGACTGTCGGAGTAAAATGGTCAATCTCGCTAACATCAACGATGATGTGACGAGTGAGTTTAGCCAAGCTGTTACTTCATAAGGTGTTCCACCAGCATTGCTTGGCGATAGCTATTGTATCGAATTGAGATCTGTTCGTTAAAGCGAAGTCCTTAAAAACAGTATGCAAGGTGCTCGGCACCAGATTGGATATGTTAACCGCTAACCGATGTTCAGCAAAAATGCGGTAATCGCGTGTTGAAGGACATACTCCAAATCATTAGCGCGAAAAGACCGCGGTGCTGAAGCGAGATGCTCCCACTAACTGAGTTTGTGTTGATATCCGCAATGCATGCCGCTATCATTCACATCGATGTCCTCGTTTGCTTTTCACACGGCTCCAAGCATAGATAGTGAAAGCGAGGCTGCGATCAAAATCGACTTAATGAGACCAGCCCGTTTACACTTCGTAACATAATCAGTGATCTTATCCTTAATGCGATTAAATGTCATTCATAGGGTACGCTACGCAATGGCAACAAGGTAAACAAGAACAAGCAGTACGCTGGTACCATGGGCACACAAATATGTTGTGGGGCAAACAGTGATGATAAATGCAATTAGAATCGCTGAGAGTGCTTTTTCCAGACAATACGATGATGAAGTTCAGAGAGCAAATCCAAGACTAGACTCGCATCATACGCCTTAACTGTCGGAGAGAGTCGGCGCGCCGCCACAACCGAGAACGCCCATAAGAGCCATCCGCAGAAGGGTCGACCTCCGCCCGTATCGCTGGATGGACAAGAATTGGCAAACTTTTACTTGGGATGTTTGGTGGGCCGGAAGCTTCATCAGAACTGTTACTAGTATGAAGTTAAAGCTTAGCTATTTCTAAACCACGGGAGCTTTTGGTCTTCTGGATCGGGAAGAAAGCCCTGGTGGTGTGACTGCATACAGCCTGGTGCATATCATCACAGTAATTTACAAACCCAGCATATTAATCTCCGTCAGAGGAGAGTCACCTGGTGTACAGTGGTATCCGCAAGTAGGAGGGGACCGACTATGCGTTATACAAGACTCTTGTTTGGTAGCTGTTACAGCTGTATCATGGAGACGAGCGGGATTGTAAGCAGCAGGAAATTGCGGTGAAGGGTTTTCATCTCGACGCCAGCGTCGTGCTTTGAAATTTGTGAAGTGAAGCATGAGACGACACTCTAAGTGGGTATCCACTTTGCTGAAGCTAGCTTGTTAATCAGGTCTTGAAATGGGTTGAGGCCGCGAATATTCCTCACGTAGTGCACGAGCTGAGTCATGTGCACAGCCGCAGTTTCGCCAGCTTCCAGACTCAATACATAACGTCCATTAAGAGTTTTTTCAGCCGCTGCTGCTCCGAGCGCAGACGGTTTTCTTGGGAGATGACTATCTATGGGTTGAGGAAGCGCTTGTGGGGCGACCTTCTTGTGCTCGTTTTGCTATGGATGTGGACGGGAGGTCAACACGCATAGGCGTGTTGGAATTTCGCACCAGCGTTGGGAGATAGTTCGGATGCTAAAGAAGCGTTATCACGGTGTGATTTGAGCAAGAGTCACGCTGACTCTTGCGCTTGCGGTAAGCAAGTTGTGCACTATAAGCTCTTTATCAATGAGCTGAACATCGTTGGGCTGCTTGGCGGGATGCTGAAACACTTCCTGTCGACACAAATTACTGTACTGTTGTGTTATACCTTACCCTTTTGTAAAGTTGTACGATATCCATTATTTGAAAATACGGAAGTGATAAGAAGATGCTGGGACTCCGTAAAGGATACCAAGTTCGCCAATAGCCGCACGTTAAGTAACAAAGGTAGATTTGGAATGAGATATAGTAGAACGTATAATTTTTCATGTTAGTCTAGATAACGTAATAAATGTAACTCGTAGTTGCCCTTTTAGGTGAGGCGTATGAAGTCAACCTCTGTGCGTGTGTACAAAGCTCACAACAATTTCGTTGCAAATAGACATTGTTGTAGAGTATGTCGTCAATTTCGAGCAATGCATATGGAACGAACGAACGAATCCCAACGTGGTCCTAAAAGTAGATTCAATGGATCTCACGAAAGCTCATCTTGCCGTTGCCCACGGACCATGTTTTCTTAACGAAGCATCACAAACACGAAATTTCGTCACCCGAGCACAGTTAGTAAGTGTTCGATATGAACACCAACATCCAATGCTGGACAAATGTATTATTCTCAACGATGTAACTAACTATTTAATTGCACCACTAACACTATAAAGGTACAATCATCAAACATGGAATCAAGAGTGCACACTTATCCAACAGAATTCGATGCTTTAAAGTGAAAACAGTCGCTCATCTAGTCTCTGCGTTCCACCAGGTGTACGTCCCATACTTTTGGATGGAGTCGTTGCTGTATTATGAAATTCACTGCCATGTGTCATGTCATGGGGTCCCACATCACTTTTGGTCCCCATCGGAGCCAGATTTTCTTTAAACCCCACGTCATACTTTTTAGGGGCCAAATGCATTTGGTAGTTATCTTGCTCTTCTTGTTTTTTCTTTTTATTCTGTGCAAACGCTCGTATCGATAGAGCTATGGAAAACAGTGTAGCCAGACCACCAGCAATTGTTACAATCCACTTCCATACTGGCCACCTATCGCACTCTGGAGGATTTGTCCAGTCCGAAACGCACACACACGTACGTACGCCATCCACAATTTGCACACTCGCTCGTTGGTCATTACAGCCCTCAATTGTCTCATCAGCATCCATTAAGCTGGAGCCAGCATTGCTACTGCCCTGACTAGACTTAGGCGTCAGATTTAGTTCCACAAGTTTACTCGCTTCGCACGTATCGTCAGTAGACTCATTAGCTTCTACAGTCACAACGTACTCTTGAGATGCCTCACGACACGGATTTGTGCCCCATCCTCGAAAATGTATAGTCCCTACTGATTTTGCGCAGATTAAAAAGTTGTGCGACTTCTTCTCCGCGGCTGTATCGGAACTAGTAGGCGTTGTTGTTTTCTTCTGTCCAGCTTTGAGCTGTACGTACGTGATGTTCTCGACATCACTCCATGTAATTGAAATGTACGATCCAGCTTTTACGACGGCCATCACACCATCATTTCCGAACGAGACGCTATCTCCAAAGACTGGATCCCCAAGGTTGCCACACTCGAAACAACAGATACCTCCTGTTACCTTGGAACAATCTTTAAAGATAAGAGGGTCGTAATTGTACGGAACAGACGACGTCTTGCCAATGCAAGTGTTGCAGCATTCAGTCGACGAATTGGTGGAGATAGCCTCTAAAGTAGCTTGAATTACAACGAAAAAACAACCAAAGACGACTAGACAGAATAATGATCTCAACAAGTGATGGAACATTTTGCGTCTTGAGCTACAAGTAGAGAAATGACGCGCTAATCAGTACCTTTCGTGGGTACGATTGCGTGATTAAAAACGATGCATGATGAGATAAAACGAGGCGGAATGGCATCTCGTATGGACGAAGACTTGATTCTTATATTTAAAGTTGTAGAATTCGATTAGTAGTTTTCCGAGATTGAAAGTGGTCATCGTTGTTTAGATTAGATAGCTAAGATAACGAAAAGAACGTATCAATATCCCACTCTTATGGAAATTTGGCCTAACGCAATCAGGCGAAGAGGATCGTTTTTTTCGACTGTCAAATGTGTATAATAAATGCATCACATTAGACATCATCGAGGTAGCGCATACTGCTTCAGACTTATTAAAAATTTATGTGACGCTAGGTTCTGAATCTTTATATCGTAGTGATTGTTTCTTAAAGCGTGAATTCATTCTCAACTGGCTTCCGTGGAACCCCAGAAGGGCGATCTGCTTGTGGGTCATACGTTGTAGGGACCATCATTGCCTTGCCATAGTAGCTACTCGTGGCTGTCATTTCTAGTGTCGCAACATCGTCTTTCGGAGTGTTGAAAGCAAGATTTTTCTGGTCTTCTCTTTCTTGCTTTTTTCGTCGAAGTGCTGGAAGCAGTGCATTAAGCGAAATCATGATCGAAAACAAAGCAGCCACACCACCGCCAACCGTGACAATCCATTTCCATACTGGCCATTGATTGCACTCAGGTGGGTTCGTCCAGTCCGAAACGCAGACACAAGTTCGTGTGCCGTCAACGACCTGAATACTAGCTCGCTGAGCATTGCATTTCTCCACTGTACTATCAGCTGGTACTTGTTCCGAGCTGGAACCTGATGTGGAACCTGAGACCTCTGAGTTCATACTATTAACACTAACGTCTGTAGCATCACATGTGGTCGAGTCACCTGCTTCCACTTTTACTAAATATTCTGGTGAAGCTTCGCGACAGGATTCTTCGCCCCATCCCCGAAAATATATAGTTCCGGCACTTTTGGCACAGATAAGAAAAGTGTTGGACTTGACGGTTGCTGCTGTGTTGGAAATGGTTGGCGTTGCGATCTTCTTTTGACCCGTTTTAAGTGAGATGTACGTCACATTTGCTATACCAGTCCAAGTGAACGAGATGTATGTGCCTGCTTTCACCACGGCCGTAACACCATCAGAAGCATACGAGACTGTGTCTCCATACGTTGGATCGCCTAAATTGCCGCAATCAAAGCAGCACACCCCTCCTGATACGTTGGAACATTGCTCAAAAATTACAGGATCATAAGTATATGCAGCGTTTGCCGTCTTCCCGATACAAGTGCTGCAACATTCCGAGGTAGGGGTGGCAGCAAATGCTGCATTCGTGATACCGAACGTCCAAATTGACAAGACGAGATAGAGTGGTAACGTAATCGATCGGAGCAGTGTCATATTGCGTTGAAGGTTACTTGTTGTAAAGCAATGGAATAGAATGAACGCTTTTGTCGTGGACGCACGAATGTACGAATGCGAAACTACAGGGAATTTCTTTGGCGGAAGAGGCACGTACGTGATGACGACAATAATAATTCTTTTCTAAAGAGACATTTACAACAGTCAATTCATTGCTTCGATCGAAGACAGCACTTTGGACGATGGATTGTCTGGCTACATGAAATGGTATCTATCTATACAATCTTGTGCTCCACATGCTCTTTTCATTTTTTAATAATTTCTCACATCTGCTTGTATCATATTGAGATATATAGTAGATTAGCCCTTTATGTTACATAACCTGTCAAATCAAGGATTACTTCTCAATCAAGGCTTCAGGTCTGACTTGATGCGGTACAGTACGATCAGTACGTATAAGTACAGTTCATGCATGAGGTTAGATAGGAAATAGATCACGAGATCCTTGCGTCAAAGGTCTTTGAATTATATTCCTCGCTATACTATAAGCTTAAGACTGAAAAGTAAACAAAAATGAACTATATTCTGCACGATTTGCTGTCTTGTCACCAGCAGTATCATCTTTCCGGGCCAAAAATACACCGACACAAGGAATCAAGGACAAGATGGCGACTTCGCTGCGCTATAACATAAGTTGTATGAATCATATGCCAATCACAGCGTAAATTCGCGGTCCTCGGCCTTTCGGACTGGTCCAGTGGTACGATCCGTCTCGGGATTGTACTGGTAAGAAGGTTTTGAACCGTCATGGAATCCGCTTTCTGGCGTCACGGTCATGGTCTCAACCCCGTTCTTGGAACCCATAGGTGCCAAAGTCTCCTCAAGTTCCTCTTTCTCCTTTTTCTTCCGACCAGCAAGGAAAGCTCGAACTGAAATAATAATGGAAAACAAGGCAGCTACACCACCACCGACCGTGACGAGCCATTTCCACACCGGCCACCGATCGCATTCTGGTGGATTAGTCCAGTCGGAAACACAGACACACGTTCGAGTTCCATCAACCACCTGAATACTAGCGCGTTGTGGATTGCAGCTGTCAACCGTATCGTCTTTCGGAATGAAACCCGATCCCGATTCTGCCTCGGTACTTGGTGATGTTGGTACAACAACATCATTGGCATTACATGTATTAGCACCTGAGCCACCTGCTTCAACCGTTACTGAGTGCTCTGGAGATGCCTCACGACATGGATCACTACCCCATCCTCGAAAGTAAATAATTCCTTCTGACCTGGCACAGATTAGAAAAGTATTGGACTTGACATCAGCCGCTGTATCGGTAATAGTAGGCGTGATAATTTTCTTCTGTCCCTTCTTAAGTGATATGTACGTGACATTCGATACGCCACTCCATGTAAATGAAATAAACGTGCCTGCCTTGACCACGGCTGTGACTCCATCGTCTCCATACGAGACAGTATCACCAAAAATTGGATCACCCAGACTGCCACATTCAAAGCAACAAACTCCGCCTGTGACGCTCGTGCACTGATCGAAGATTACAGGGTCATAACTGTAAGGAGCATTCGACGTCTTGCCAATACACGTATTGCAGCATTCAGCCGACGACCTGGTGGTCGATTGGGCCATAACAATGCTAACGTACGATAGTACAAGGCTCAGGACGAAAAGGCAGCGTCCGCCACACATGCTCATGTTGATTAGATTTCTAGTGCGAAATGAAGGCAACCAGCCCTAGCGGTCGTCGGCAAATGCGAAACTTTTCGCTCGAAACACACGAAAAAGAGGCGGAGCGTCTGTCCCATCCGCTAATTTTTCTGTAACGACAATGCTAACAAACCGACAGCTGGGGGGCCAAAAGACCTGGGCGGATGTTGCATAAGTTGGACCTGATCTGCTTCGATATTGCGACTTCGTGCCTACAGCTGGTCATCGTGTTGTGAGGCTGTAAATTTACGACGTTTACAAAGGCATGACGTCTGTTCTCTATACATGTTGTACAATCTGACATCATTCACCAAAAATATCGATAAAAATCCATACAAATTTGCCATGCTGAACGATTGTTCTCTTCTCTTCCTTGGTGTAAGATTCACCGGTCGTTCCATTTCTTAGCACGTTTTCTCTCTTGACAAATATGTTCCAAAACCCATACAATTAAAACAGGATACAACTTGGTATGTTTATTTATATTTTCTATACATTATTCACGATCGCTTCTGGCCTGCATTGATATATACATCGCGTATACTCTTGACTACAACTTTCCGTTCAATCTTTACAGAAAGATTATCGCTTACTATGGCTGTACCGCTTAGATTCTAAGCCTCCAATCATTTCAATAATCGCTTGATGTATGAATGGCATTAAACGATATTTAGTGGGAAGAATATATGCAGTCTACCTTTAAAATATATGGCTGAAAAAAAAAGATGTTACTAATAGCTGAAAACACATGGATGTAGCAAATATGTACCAGATGATCTGACGAGTCCATAACTTACGCTTGATATTGTGCCAGGTAATCATAAATTTGCAGAGGGCCAGCAGCGTTAGAGAGTGGAAAAATCTCGTGAGGAAACGTTGCGACTTAAACTGACAAACATTTGTGCTTCTCACAAGGTACATCAATAATGATTGTAGTAGTCCTACTCACTTGTATGAAAGCTTGAAAATCTCGCCGTATTCCTTTACCTTTCTTCAATGATCAAGACAGATGCGATATGTCATGCACTATGTCGAGATAAATCGAGAAGCGAAAATCGCATCTAGTTAGCTGAGGCCAGATCTAATAAATACGAAGAAAGTTCTCTACGTGATTTCTATTAATTCAAACGGGAAAACGTAGACGAGAACGAAAAGTCATTACACCAGACAAATCCAATTGCCACGATATCGACATATATGTTTTGTGCGAACTACCTTTACACCGTAGAGCTCAACATATAGCTCTCAAACATTCAATGGTGACTAAGTATTAGAGTTTCATCTCTTTCATTGTGGAATGGTTCAATACCATCTTTATTTTTATGCCTAGATAATTAGGAAAGATATTATTTTGTAAGATACAATTGTGTTCATTCTCATAACTTCTTTTCACAAATTACGGATTAAAATATGTATGATTGATGTAGAAGAAACCTATCGAACAACTTGCATTCTTCATCATACGCTCGAAAAATTAAATATCCAGCGTGGTAAGAAATAGTGAGTCACAAGTTAGTGACACGAATTGTTGTGCTAGTACTGTAAATACTTGTAGCCCTCGAGGGGAGTTATATAAGACTCGATCAGCAGCTTTTTTTTCCTTGTTCGCCAAAAAGTTATGTACATCTTACAAATATAGACAGTTGTATATTTATTGTCTTCACGGGGAAGCTTACAAGCACATACTAGCATATTTTAGCTAGCGACAATCAATCCTTGTGAGTCTCCACTGAAAAATCAGCTGTCCACTCTAACGGCGTGTGAAAAATACAAATTTTACACTTAAACAAAGTTCACGATACCCGTTTTTATGGGTATCGTGAAATTCTGAGGTACACGTTTAAAGATACTGAGTACGAACCCCGTATCGATGCCTCATGCGACGTGAATATTGGTTGAATCTCTATAAAGTCGAAGGTTTTGACTGTGTGTGTAACGGGGTTACACGTACCCTGGTAATAGGTATGTGTGTGTTACACGAGATGGGCACGGTGTGACTGCACCCAAATCAGAATACGGTACGTGGCTGGGTAGTGCATGTCTTGAGATTTTACTATACATATTTAGGAGAATCTATATATTTAAAACTAGGCGGCTTTGCCGCAGAAAATAAAATAAAGTCGTACTTGTTCTAAGTATAGAATGAAAGCTCGGTGATCTAGCTTACGCTTCCTGAAAGCGCAAAGCTACGACAGCCCCGCTGCACTTGGTAGCACTTGTAGTCAATCTACACCTGAGTCGTTTAGACTGATCCTCTGTGAGGATGGAACAATTTTCTTCTTTGCCCCAGAGCATGCAGGGCGAGCTTAAAAAGGTGATGTTCTTGCTTGGCCCTGAGGGCGTGTAACACCTTGCTACGCGAGGCCCCGAGGCAATCGGGGCGCGTCTAGAGGCGTTTTCAAATTACGAAATCGCGA